GTTTCTGTTGGAGCTTGTCGTGACAGTTACGGTAACGGTATTCTTACTGAGTTGATTACACTTTTAACGATATCTCCTAGCTGGAACTACTCAGAAAACCTTCCGCTAACGGAATTTCAAGCTATGAGATCTATGAGAAACCTAGCGTTGACAGCAGTTGTATTTATATTAATATTTATAGAATTCACGACCTCTTCAATGAGGATTTGGGCAGATTCGGACTACTTTATGATGAGTAATGATCAACTTTATCAACAGACAACAGACGATCTTGGGAAGTGGCATACTTCAAGGGCCGACAAAAATCGTCTTCGACTTCTATCTAACGACAAAATCTTTGATTTGCCGGACAAATATAAAACTTGTGTTTTGAAATCAAGTAGTTCTTCAAAGCAACGTGATCAACATGACAAGAATTGGTTCAAAGACGTTCACCAGGTAAGCAATCATTTGATCACTTATCTTTTATGTGAGTTATAGGGAYTATTACAGAGTTTCGAGCGTTTTCTAGGGTTTGGAACGACTTTCCAAATAACGGTATAAATTACCTGAATTATGGGGACAAGATACGTACTACATTCTGTCAATCACGCTAGTACTAAAGGTCAAGTGAAAACAGTCTGCATGGTTAACTAGTTTAAAGTTGGTGTGTCAATAAACACTTAAAGGAATTTTAGGCGAGTTAGGATGCCTMGTGAAAACGCAACCAGTATGACTTCTTGTTTTTGATCCCCTGACCTCCATGTTCGTTTTTTTTATTACCCCGGAATCGACCAATTAGATCACACACATTAGCATAATGACACACGACGTTAAGTCAAATGCAAACATTTCCGAGGCTCGTTAATCTGTATGTAGTGTCTGTATGTCTCTAGTAATGACAGTGACAAACGGGACTGTTAGAGCGGCAGCATCAAATATCGAGCTTTTAAAAATCCCTCGAATAAACAGACAATGTTGTGACTTAGTTTTTAAAACGTGCATGTGCATAATATACTTTTTATTTCCATAGTCTTGAAAATGGCATGCCGAAACATGTCGAGATTGAAAGCATCTTTCGTATAAACTTTTCACTCTAATTTACATTGCAAAAATAGCAGTTTATGACAACGGAAGAAGAAATCCAGCACCCAGAAAAAACCAAGAGTACTGTTTTTAACTGTGGGATCTAACAAATAATATATCTCAGAATAAATTGGTCAAACTGGTCAAAAAATTTTTTATCTGACAAAAATGCTAAAAAAATGCTACCCATTTTTTCTTGAAGGAAGCAGGCATACATCACATTCATCGTCGTAGTATGGCTGTTCGACCACAYTGCTTGTTTGACTTTATAATTCCTCACCATAATTCAAACAAAACAACTCGGCTACGTGGAGAATTCTGCGTTCCTGAGCATTTGACTGGAGGAGCAGCGGTCGGTGATTACGACAATGATGGTTTGCAAGATATATTCTTTACCGTGTTTAGTAAAACAAGCGTTCTTTACAGAAACAATGGTAGGTTTGGGCATGTTAGAGTACAAACATTAAATGTGTGCAACACTTTCCACTATTTACTACAAAATAGTGTTAATTAAACAATAGAAAACAATATAATTAGCATAATTTAGCAGTATTTAATGGTATTTATGTTGCACAGTTTTAGTGTTTGTACTCTATTGATATTACTTAACAAACTGCGCAGTGTCAGTTAATTTTTAATTTATTTTTTTAATCGTGTGAGGGAGTGGCTGATCCCATTAAAAAGTGCTCAATGCACATAAAGTGTAGAGCTAGTTATATATATGATATCAAAGAGGCAAGATTTTGCTGTAACTCCGAGTTTCGTGCTACGCACTCATCAGACAGTATGATATCATATATATAATTTATTTCTTATTTATTTATAATAGTATTCTTTTAAGAATTATTTATTATCTATTTAAAAATAAATATTTTTTTTATTAAGAAATTGTTGAGCATATTGATTCTGTTTGTGCAAAAAAACACGGTACGTTCATCCTGTGTCCGTACCGTGCCGTAGCCGTGATGCATTGAAAAATCTTTACTTTCATTTGAAATCCTAGAAGGCGAGGTTCCGTGACCGTGCCGTGTCGTGTTCGTGTTGTGATCCGTGCTTTCGCACAGTCATACGAAATCCGTTCTAAACGTAGAACAAGTCTCAAGAACAGAGGCAATATGTTTTGAATTACACTAAATTTCGACAACAAAATTTGAGACTGGCATGTGATAGATGCTTCAGAGTCTTTTATTAGTCCCGTTTAGTCTCTCAATTTTATATTTTTTGTTTTCTTTCTCAGGTAACGGTACATTTACCGATGTTACGGACGAAGTTGGCCTAGGTCCKCCTCGGTACGCAAGCGGTGCAGGCTGGGTAGATGTTGATCAAGACGGAGATCTGGATCTTTACGTAACAACYGTCGGTGACACAAGACATTATTTATACATTAACTATGGGGGATATTTCAAAGAAGAAGCAGAAAAAAGAAATWGTTCTTTGCAATTTCAAAACAAACGAAAACTTGCGGGTATGACGCCCAATTTCGGGGACTTTGATCAAGATGGATTTCTAGATATTTATGTCACTGAATGGATTCTACACTCATTAGGAAAGGTAAGCCGGGAAGGCTTGTATATTATTATTTATTATAAACTTCAATATAATACCGAGAAATCTCTAACGCGAAAAACATTTCCTTTATTGCAGCCTTCTGCTTCTCGACTTTTAAGAAATAAGGGTTACAAAAATCCAGGGTAAGAKTGAGAACAGCTACTCACTGAGTCACTGCAGCGTATGGTTTTACATCATTTAAKTATTATTGAATATTTTACATATTTTTTTTTTACAAAAGATACTTTGAAGATGTCACTGACTCCATGGACGTCAATATGGACGTTTACAGAAGTGGAAACAAACTTAACAGTGGAACACATACATTTGGCGCATCTTTTACGGTACGTAGTATATAACACTGGAAAAAAAATCGCGCGCTTTAAAGGTTGTAAATTTGATGTAAATATGATGTAAGTGTCCAAAATTCTGTAAATTTAACAGAATTTTGGACACTTACATCATATTTACATCAAATTTACAACCTTTAAAGCGCGCGATTTTTTCCAGTGAGCGTCATAGCCACAAGTCTTGGAGTCTGCAATGCTCGAGTCAGCTTGAAATGCATTATGGAACTGTTGCGCATCACGAAACAGAGCAGAATCTGAATCAAAGTTTTGAAATATCTATTTTCTTTAACKGTGCATCAAATGTGAATTCTCAGAGAATTCGAGTTTTTGACGATATTCGATAATCGATTTTGCTCATTATAATTGAAATTCATTCACATATCACGCTGCCATGTATTAGAATCAATTTCGTATGAGTGGGAAACGTACGGTAGAAATTACCGCACGGTTACCGCACAGTTACCGGACCTGGCCTGCACAATTTTGGTGAAGCAATGAGACACTAGAGTTTGGTTACAGTATGATTACGGTTACAGTACAGTACCGTCCGTTTCCCACTCATACGAAATTGACTCTATCACTCTCCTCCTCCGCAATTTGATTTGCAATAATTGTGCTTTAGAATTTCCTTTTCTAATTTCTACGTGTAGGGACTATGGAAATACTTATAGCTTTTAGGAAAAAAAGAAAACAAACAAACAAAACAAAACAAATGCTAACAAAAAAAGATCACCCGGGGCTATAGCACTTTTACCTTTTTTCCCAAAGCACATGTATTCCTTTTTATTTATTTTTTTTTACGGCAACGATGATATGAGTAAGGCAACCTTTATTTGTTTGTTTTTTTATTTTTTTTGTTTCAACTGTATATCGTTTCTTGTTAGGATTTTGATGATGACGGTTGGCCGGAGTTACTGGTGACMGCAGACTACGGAGACAGTAAAATGTTTTGGAACAACAATGGCAAAACGTTTACCGAATGCACTAAGAAATGCGGATTGAAGGGAGAACAGGTACAGTGCTCATTTGAATTAGTTAAAACCTCTCAATAAGCAGTATGCACCAATCAGACAGTCTTCTTGGCAGCCTCCCTTTTTGTCGGCCTTCCTGTCCGACAAAAATTGAAATGAATAAATGAAACCTAAAAGATGTTGTCTTAAGTCATGAAGGGGTCGAGTATAAAAAGATATGCCTAGAAATTATTGCTTCAAACCATGTTGAAAAGCTATAGTTGCCACATAAAGATTGTCCATGTTTACCTATACAGTTTTAAGAATATTTTCCTGTTCTTTTCGTCGATTTTTCTACGTACTAAAGAATAAATTTCATTKTAGGATGCCATGGGTCATGCAATAGGAGACTGGGACAACAATGGTCGTCTTGACTGGTTCTCTACTGCTATCTTTCATAACCATACAGACTGTGCGATCACGGGTTGTGTTTTTGGCCGTGGTGGAAATAGGTTGTATYTGAATCAAGGCAGTAAAATGTTCTTGGACGCTACTGATAAGGTTAACGTATTTCTTTTATAAATCAGTAAATGGACGTGCGCATATCACTGGATAAAATCGCGCGCTTAAGAGGTTGTAAATTTGATGTATATATGATGTAAGTTTCCAAAATTCTGTAAATTTAATGGAAATCATTAACATCAAATTTACAGAATTTTGGACACTTACATCATATTTACATCAAATTATTACAACCTTTAAAGCGCGCGATTTTTTTCCAGTGTGTATGAAGATATGAATGACCAAATAGTATCGTTCATGTTACTTGGACGAAAATTGCGAAACATTAGAAAAGACTTGGAAATTAATAGACCTATTAATATGGTTCTAATAATAATGAAGCAACAGATTTCAAGAAGATATTGATAAAAATCCTTAATAATTTAGGGAAAAAAAAGTTGGAGTAAACGTCATTTACTCCATTCTTCTGTTC